TGATTTTAAAGGAATTAGTTTTGATACAGGGGAATGAAATACCCAACCTGAAAGATACCTGGGTTGAGTTGGTGTTCTCTAAAACCAAAGAATAAATTTTAGGAACAACAGAGTTTAAGAGCAGAATATATTTTTTGGGGAAAAGAAAGCTTCTGTCTGAGAGAGGGACAGAAGGGGAACCTGAGTGGATTGGCCAAGAATCTGCCTTTTCCAGAGATTTTATAGAGTAAAACGACAAGATGAGGCAGGTCTAAGGTAGAAAACATGGGACTTTGCTAGGTGGGCTGTCTCAGTTACTTTTCTCTCGTTGCTGGGAGAAAATACCCAACACACAAAATTAAGGAAGGAAGGTTTATTTAGCTCACAGTTAGTGGAGGTTTCATTCCATACTCAGCTGGCTCCAAGGCAGAGCAGCACATAGCAGAGGGCAGCAGTTCGCCATGGCAGGAAACAGCAAGAGCAAAGGGAGGAGCAGTGGCAACAATGGCTGCAGAGCGCAAATCTATCTCTCTTTTGTTGCATTCGGGCTATCTGCCCCAGGGTAGGTATAGTGCTCACACCCATAATCCCAGTGGATCATGAGTTAATCACACACTCTAGAAGTCTGCCCCATGACTGCACGAGGCTTTGGGGGGACACCTAGACACAAATCATAACATGGGCACGAGGTGGGACAAAACTATGGTCAACTAATAAGATTCCAGGCACCACTGCTCAGGTAAAATTGATTACATCCAGGACCAAAAGGAGAAGCAAGTCAGTGGCAAGTGGGCCTGAATACAGAACAGGGACTTTTCCTTTAAGGGGCTGGATTAGTGACTCTTCCAGGCATCCTCAAGCTTACAGATCTATTTAGAATATCAATTCCTGATATCTATCCTTAGGGAGGATAGATGTATTTATTTGATCTTTTGTCTGGAGGTCTGGCCCACAGCAGGGGTGTGTCTCTTCCAAAGCTGCAATGTGGTCATGTGTTCCACACTGTTCCCTTGAGAACCTCACCCTGTCTGACTGGCTATAATATTTCTATCTAACTCAGCTGCCTGCAACAGTTTTAGCCAATGGACAAGAAGGTACCCTTCATGAGGGATCCTCCCCACCCACCAAGCTCCTAGCTCGCTTCTGACACAGGCTTGTTTCTCTAATGGGAGTTCCTCCCTGTGGAGCAATGGGGCAAGGTACAACAAGATTTCTCCCAACAGCTGGGAAAGGAAAGAAATCACAGGAGCAAGGTGCACTGAGTCTGTCCTGATGCTGTACTGATAACATTCCACTGCGTCTGCAGAACTTGCATTGGCAACTGAGAGCGGTGTTCCTTTTTATAAGAGCCTGTACCTTCAGGACAGGTCTACTTCTTTTTGTGCAGTCCAGAAAAGCACACCAATTTGAGGTTAGAAAGCCTAAATTCATCACCTAGTCCCCAGTGAAATGCAATTCTGCTTCTACAAGGTTTTGGGTTTATTATAAGTATAAAGGTTAATTTCAGAATTACTTATTAAGTTGAATTGAACAGACATTAATGTAGTAGATGAGTTTAAGCATTACATAACAATTATATTTAGCATTTACTGATGTGATTCCATGTTCCTAGAGGAGGGAGAAGCCCATGAAACAAATGCTGACCTTGGCATTGGACAAAGCCCAGTGTCTGTCCTGGTTAAGTCTTCGTTCTGTCACTTTCTACCTTGAGAAATTTCTGTGGCTTCTCTACACCTTCAATTCTTTGTTGGAAATCATAATTCCTATCTTGCAGGTTTGTTGTAAAGAATTAGTCACATAATGTAAGTCAAATGAATAGCATAGTGCCCAGAAGGAATTCAAAAATGGCAGTGACTACACCTTTGCTATCTGAGGACAGAATTTTTAAATACTATTAGAAGGTACTTGGTTTGAAAATAGGTGACTCTTCTCAAGGATTAGCTTTGACTAGCTAATTAACAACCTTGGAAATCCTCAGGCATTTCTAGATAAGAGTGGGTGGAGTTAGCAACGTGTCTATAGAGAAAAGCTCTTGGCAGGACTGACTCCTTATTAGCAAGCAAAATTACTCCAATCCTCCCTTGTGCTCCCAACACCTCTGAGTGAATTAACTTTGCTTGGGGTCAGCACTTTCACCCAGGTCCAGAAGATTCGCACAGGCCTAATACAAGGGATGAAAAGAAAATCCCAACACCAAGCACATAAATATGTCCTCAATGAACCAATGAATGAATGAAGTAATATTCATTATGATAGCTGAATGAATTACATTCACAGAGGAGTACAGACTTGCTCTGCTCTATGAAAATGGCCAGACACAAGAGTCTACCGTTGAGAATGCGGATCTGAAAGCTGTCCAGCGGGCTCTTCCCTTCATCCCCATGTCGCCCACTAGAAGCCAATGGAGGAAGAAAAGCATAAGCAGAGGCAGAAGTCAAGTGTAATATCCATTACCCAATCCCCTGTCATCAGTGAACAACAAGAACTTCATCCCCGACCAAGGATTCAACCTTATTTCTAGAAAGGGGACTGAGATGACAGGTCTAAGATTATTTCCATGTTTTATTTCCTTAACTCCACAGAGACTGTCCAGGGGTGTGCAGCTTACCCGATTTTGTTCAAAGAGACATCATTGGGAAGGAGTTGGCTGCCCAGATGTTTCAGTTACTTTTTACTTGTTGCTGGGGCAAAATACCCGACACCCAAAATTAAGGAAGGAAAGGTTTATTTAGTTCAAAATTTTGTGGGGGTTTCAGTCTATGCTTGGCTGGCTCCCAGGCAGAGTGGCACATGGCAGAGAGCAGCAGTTCATGGCAGCAGAAAACAGTGAAAAGCAAAGGGAAGGGCAACAGCTGTGGCTTCTAGCCAGCCTCCCCTCCCTCCTTATAATATAAACAAGCTACCCTGGGACTGGGGGATGCAGAACTCCCACCATGTCCATGACCTCCTCTTGCACAGGGTGAGGATGTTTACAAGCTAAGAATCCTGGCTCCCTCCTGAGTCACTTAATGAAACTCCTAAATTTCTAAAGTTGACACAATGTATCAACCAGTATAATCCACCTCTTGTCAGTTTGGCAATCAGGCTTCCTTTCACCAGTTTCCAGGTACATAGACACGCCTATTAGTGTTTTACAACTTGAACGCTGTATTACATTAGAACCATGACATTTTGCGCCTGGGAAACCCCCTCTCCCCCACACAGAATCATACACTTCCTTTTATGCAAAAGGCATTTTAATCCATCTTTAAAAATCCTAACAATTTCAGCATTGCTGAAAATTCCAAATCCCAAGTCTCCTCCAAGATCTAACACAAATTCTCAGCTGTGAGCCCCTGTGCAAATGAAAAGTTAACCACTTCTAACATTCAAAGGTGCAAGACATACATTGCCATTCCGAAAGATATACACAGCAGGAAACAAACAGTTGGGACCAAAACAAGGCCAAAATCCAGAAGGACAAACATTAAGTCCTGTAGTTCCATGTGGAATATCAGATGCAACCTGTAACAAATTGTGAGCTCCAAAAGCCTTACGTGGCTCCATCCCTATGGCGCTTCTGCTGGGAGCTCCCATGGCTTTTCTCTCAGGCCTGTTTTGCTCCCTTTTTGCAGCTTTTCTTAGATAATCCACGTTCCTGGCTTTATCAAACTTTTGAGGTTTCCACTGAATAGGCTTCTCACTCACACTTTTACATACTGCCCTCTCATGGCACATTGCCTGGCCTTCCAGGCCTTCTGAAATCTAGGAGGAAGCCTTCTTAACCTCAGAACTCTTGCATTCTGAATGTGCCTAAAACCAACACCAAGTGGATGATGCCAAGGGCTGCTGCCAGCTGGAGGACTTTCCAGGCTTCCCCCTTTTTTGGCTGTAGGCGTTGAGTGCTTGTATTGCTGTGCACTCTGACCTTAACCCTGAGGAATAAATTCTCTATGCCAGCGCCATTCTGGATCCGGTGTGGTCTCCGCCTCCATTCTGGGGCATAGGGCTCTGCAGCTTTCTCCTCAAAGCACAGTCCCTCACCCTTGGGATTCTGAGGCTGCAAAGGGCGAGAACCTGCCACTTCCTGTGATGCTCTCAGGACATCTTTTCTACTCTCCTGTTCCTTCTCAGCAATAGAGATCCTCTCAGCTCTGTCTTTACATTCCACAGCTTTATTGGAGCTTTCTTTCTGGCTAAACTCACATTTTAAATTATCCAGATGGGCTCTTTGCTCTTGACTGTCAAGATAGATCTGACTAAAAGCCCCCAACAACAGCCATGCAACTGCCTCGATATTTGACTGCTTTGACATATCTTTTGCTAGATTAATCAGTCCTCCATGTTAAAACTCAGTCTCAGGCAAGGTCTCTGAGCAAAATGCAGACAAACTTTCTGCCAAGCCAAACACAAATCATCCAAAGTCCAACAACCAATGCAGTCCTTCACAGGGGAAACCTCCCCAGGCTGGTCTTTACAGGAAGGCTTTCTATCAGTCTTCTGGTCTGAGCTCTAAACAGAATCTCCAAAGAACAGCCAAAGCTGTTGCAGTGATTCGCTTGTAGGCAATATCTCCAAAACTTTCCTATCTCTTCCCATAAGCTACTCCCAAAAGCTTCATTCACATGGTCAGGATTAGCCACAGCAATGACTCTACTTCCCTGGTACCAAATTTTGTTTCAGTTACATTTTACTCGTTGCTGGGACAAAATACCCAACACCCAAAATGAAGGAAGGAAAAGTTTAGCCCACAGTTTGTGGAGGTTTCAGTCTATACTCAGCTGGCTCCAAGGAAGAGTGGCACATGGCAGAAAGCAGCAGTTCATGGCAACAGAAAATAGAAAAGAACAAAGGGAAGGGTAGCTGTTGTGGCTTCTAGCCAGCCTCTCTCCCCTCCATATATTATAAACAAGCTACTCTAGGATTGGGAGTGTAGAACTCACACAGTGTCCATTCCCTTCTCTTGCATAGTATGAGGATGTTTGCAAAGCATGAATCCTGGCTCTCTGCTGAGTCACTTAATGAAAATTTTAAATTTTCAGGTGACACAACATATCAATCAGTACACCAGCTGTCTGATGTACAGGTGTGCAGTCCAGACTGCTGCTGCCATTTTGCCACCTGGAGTTGCAAAGGAAGTGCAGAGAGTGTTGAAATGCCTAGAAGAATCGGAAGACGACATAATTTCTTGGTGAGATGGTTGGAATTGTAGGCTTTGGAGCTTTCAACTATGTGCATCAATAAATCCTACTTTTTGTCTAAAGTGTGGTAAAGACATGTTTCTGTCATTTGCAAAAAATCCTAATTAATACAATGAAGCTTCTTTCCTCTGTGCTGGATGAATGTTGCCAATTTGCTGACCTGGAAATAAAATCCAGCTGAAGTCACTGTCTGAAAATGCCATAGATGTGAGATTAGGATCTTGAAATGAACTTCTGAAACATTTTTGAAAGACCTTGTTTCAAATAGATCATGGTTACCAGCGACATAGGTTCTACTCTGATTGATTTTCTGTAAAATCCTATAGAATTATTTTAGAGTGGCTCATTACTTTAAAAGTACTGCTTTGGAAATCACTTTAAATGAACTATTTAAAACTGCTCCTGTGGTATTTCACAGACCTTTATACTACAGCAAAATCAAGAGACATTAGATTTGACTGCGAAACTAAAAACATGTACATTTCAAATAATACTTGGAATCCAAAAGGATGCTCCATAAATGATCAGAAATAAAACTTTTTTGCTTCCATAAATAAGATTTTAAGTTATGATAGGGCCAGTGAGATAGCTCAGTGGACAAAAGCACCTGCTTACATAAGCTTAGGCAAGCACAGGGACTGCGGTTTGATCCCCAGCACCAAATGCCACACTAGCCCCGCCCCCAGGGCAAGCTGAGCCGGCCAGGTTCTGGGTGTGGTGGCTCATGCCTGTAATCCCAGTGCTGGGGAGGCTGAAAGCAGGAGGACAACCACTAGTCTGATCTGGGTAGTGAGACCCTGCAACAACCAAATATACTAAAAAAAAAAAAAAAAGAAAGGAAGGAAGAAAGATTTTAAGTTAAGAGGTACACAAAACAATATCTAGCTCTGATAATTAAAGAGTATAATGATGAATATTAAGAGAATAAAAAACAAATAAGATTTTTTAAAAAAACTCCAGTAGTATTTTATTAGGTACAAGATCAAAAAACACAAAGATTGAAAATATATTTGAAATATAAATTTACAATAAAATAACACAAGGTGTAATTGTATGGATCATCATTACATTATGTAACATTATATAAAAGACAACATTTCGGAATTTTTTTTTTCCTTGAATTTTTTATTGGTACATTTTATATATACATAGTGATAGCATTCATCATAGGGGAATTGTACCTTGCTTCAAACAATAGTTTCAAGCATTTTTAAAAATATTTAAAATTTCTAAATTTAGTTCAACTTATAATACCACATTTCCAAGAAAAATGAACCTTTTGCAAAGACATTTAAATAAAATCATACCAAGATGCACAAAAATGAAATTGTCCAAAACTTCTTGTAAAGAAAAAAATCAGTAAAACATATACATAAAAATATTAGCTATGGGAGAACAAAATTAAATAACATCTTATTCCACATTAGAAAGAAAAAAAAGGACCAAGGCTATAAGAAACTAGATTAATTAAAGGACTGAAAGAAAAGATGTTCTCTTTGAATTTTATACTTAGCAAACATACCTTTGAAAACTAAAAGTAAGATTTTCTAGTTATACAATCTTGAAATATTTTAATACCTCCAGAAGTAGCATATAGGAAATAACAAAGAGCATAATTCAAAAGGCAAGAGAAGTTGCAGTATGCTCCTGGATGAACAATAAAGAGCTCTCAATATGATAGTTATGCAGGACTATATAAAAGATATATTAGATGAACCCTTATTTAAAGGTCATTGCAGATTTCTATGAAACAGTACCAATCTTATGTTGGGTTATACACGTATTTTTTTTTCCATATATGTGTGTGTATGTGTGTATAAAAGATAGGGAAGAAGTAATATAAAGTCAACAGAAAATGGAAATATACTTTTTAAAGTTTCTAATACGAGAAGATGTCATACAATATCTTTTAAATAAATTGTAAGTCAAAGATATAGTACAAATCTTAGAACAAAAATTAAGATTAAGCAATATTCATAAAATTAAATACTAATTAATTAAGAATTAAATGTTTCAAAACAATTGCACTAAGAAAAAGTTTTCATGACAGCAAAGAAGTACTAAAAGTAAAACATAAGATAAATACTGGAATGGCAAATAAATGACCAGCACTTCTAACAGTTTGAGGATAGGATATCGCACAAAGTTCTAATGTGCTGTGGACATGCATAATGACCGTGACAGTTAATGGTGGCTAGGTGTCACTTGTGGAACTGAGCCACAGCTATTTCTTTGAAATACACCCTGTAGACTCAGGTGGAATCATGACCCATAAGGTGGAAGAGAAGTCCATTTGTAGAGTGTGCTGATGGAAATATTTTGCTGCTGAACACAAAAGGATAACTGAAAGACTACTATTTTATACCTGTTATTCTCCTGTGTTTAATAATTTGCCCTATTTGGTGGGTTCTTTCCATTTTCATTCATGGGGCTATGATCAATTTGCTCCCTCTCTAGAATATCATTTAGTAGTCTGTGTACGCTTGGCTTTGTCATCATGAAATTCTTTAGCTGTTCTTTGTCATGGAAGTATTTCACTTCTCCATTATACTTGAAAGAGAGTTTTGCAGGACATATCAGTCTGGATTGGAATTTGTTTTCTTGCAAGACTTGAAGCACTTTGCTCCATGCTCTTCTTGACTTGATGGTTTGTGAAGAGAAATCTACTGTTATTCTGATGGGTTTTCCTTTAAATGTGATGTTTCTTTTCTTTAGCAGCTTTTAGTATACTGTTCCTATGCTGAGTTTCTGGGATCTTGATTATTATATGTCTGGGTGTGGTTTTCTTTAGGTTGATGTTATTTGGAGTTCTATATGCTTCGGTTACAGGAATGTCAGATTCTTGTCCCATATTTGGGAAGTTTTCTGCTATTACTTCTGCCCATATTCTTTTTATATCATTTGTATTGACTCTTTCCTTCTCATTGATGCCTATTAGTCTCACATTGTTCATCTTTGCATCGTCTTGCAGTTATTGAATTATTTTTTCCTGTATCCTAGTTGTTTTAAAGAGATCTTTTCTTACTTTTTCACTAGCTGCAATGGTGTCTTTTAGGTCAAAAAGTCTATTTTCACTTTCACGCAAACGGTTTTGCCAGCTTGTGATTGAGGTTTTAATTTCCTGTATATCACTTTGAATCTGTTTCATACATTCTATTTCTTTCCTAAATTGCCTATTCAAGAGTTCCATCATTTTTATATTCTGCTCTATTTTTTTTATCTGTGTATTCTTTAGAAGCACTTAGTACTTCTTTGATTATAGTTATTACATTTTTTAGTTCAGAAATTATTTCTGATCTGATTTCTTCTATAACAAATAAGTTTTTAAAAATACATATAAAATCTTACTATAAAGATGCAAATATAGGGGGCCGGGGAGATGGCTCAGTGGAATAAGTGCTTCCTGGGCAAGCACAAGGGCCTGAGTTCAATCCCCGGTTCTGAAAAAAAAAAAAAAAAAAAGAATATAGTAAAAGATGCAAATATAGAGAAAACATCATATTCAATAGTTGGAGGAGGCGAGCCAGATAGCTCAGTGGGCTAAAGTGCCTGCTTAGGCAAGCGCTAGAGGACCGGGTGAGATCACATGCTGTGCCGCCCCGCCCCCAGGGTGCGCTGAGATGGCGAATGAGACTGGGTGAGGTGGCCTGCGCCTGTAATCCCAGCTCTTGGGAAGCTGAAAACATGAGGCTCACTACAAGTCTGATCTGTGCATTGAAACCCTGTACACCCTGGAGATCCAGTACTAAATGTATTTTTTAAAAAACGTTGGAGTAGAGGCAGAGCGTCTCTGGGTTTTTCACTTCCCAAGATTCAGACATCAAGCCCACATCTGAACACAGTCAAGCTGCTAAGATTGTCAAGTGTGAGGGGCAGAATCAAATCGTAACTCCTCAGCAACAAAGTTATATTATATTTTACCACATTTTGTCAGATCACATATATGATTCATAGTTTTCTTCCAATAAAAGAACCTTTGAGAAGTGAGACTGGTGCAGGGGTGCCCTGTTGCAGCAGGACAGTAATGATGATGCTGAAGATGTTTCACTGTTTGATGCAGAAGAAGTGACAGCTAATAGACCCAACAGAGGCCGAATTAGACATCCAGGGGCATCATTTTTCCATTTTTTCTTTCGAGTCAGTACGATTATAGTCTATTACAGTCTTCTGTGTGAGTTGCTCAGCAGCAGCGTTACTGCCCGGAGGATCACCATCCTCTTGGTGCTATCATGTGACTTTGGGGCAGAGAAGAATGTCACAGGTAGACTAATGGTGGGTCTGCGCTTGTGGAATCATACTGATGAGGTTGGAAAGAGCCACTGGGTATTTGAGTCCAGGAAGGCAACTTCTCAAGAGAGTAAAAGTGGGGGGCCGGGGAGATGGCTCTGTAGAATAAATGCTTCCCTGGCAAGTGCAAGGGCCTGAGTTCAATCCCCAGTTCCGTAGAAAAAAAACCTAACCAAAACAAACAAACAAACAAAAAACAGTACAAGTGTCTCAAAGGCTGAAGCAAGGATATTTTGGTTAGGATTTATTGCCTTCCCAGTTCTCTGGGTGACATTTGCCTTCTGTGCTCTCTTCTCCTCCAGAGTAAAGTGGCTGGTGGTGGTTATCATGGGTGTGGTGCCGGGAGGTGCCAACCTGTGCGGTTACATCAGGCATAATGTGGGCAGCAGGAAGAATCTAACCAGCATGGCTACCTCCTATCTCGGGAAGCAGTTTTTAAGACAAAACATTGGAGATAAACAGACTTCCTGAGCAGAGAGAAAACTTACGTGTTCTGTTACCTTGGGGAACAACTGAAGTGATTCTTGACTCTGAGCTGTTTAGAGATCCATCCATTTTGCAGAGACATGTAGGGTTTGTTTTCTACTTAAAAACTTTATTTAAAAAATATGAAACAGGGCCGGCCAGATAGCTCAGTAGACTAAAGCTCCTGCTTAGGCAGAATGCAGGGGATGGGGTTGGATCCCCAGCCTGCCTGTCGGCCCTGCCCACAGGACATGCTGAGATAGGGATTGAGACTGGGCGTGGTGGTGTATGCCTGTAATCCCAGCACTCGTGAGGCTGAATACAGAGGATCGCTACGAGTCCAATCTACGTAGTGAGACCCTGTAGACCCTGTCCTAAATACAATAAAAATAAATGAATAAATGGTTTCATATTGTATTGATTTTATTTTCTATTTTCTGGGGCTAGAAAGTATAGTATCATCAGAAACATTTTGGTACTTGTTTTATAGTATACATATATGTGCACAGCCATGTAACAGCAGTATATCCCAAATTAATGTATTCATTTACATATGTAATGGATCTTTACATTTGATCCATAGAGCATAGGAATGTGTTCTTAGTCTGTTTCATATTTCTGTGTGTTTACGTATTTCTGTAGATTATTTTCAAAAGTAAGTTTTGATTCTATGTAAAAATGAGCATTTTGGGTGGTAAATGAGATTAAAAAGTTATACTTTATGGTGAAATTTCTTATTTTAGAAATACATGCAACATGTAAAATCTAGGCTAGTAGTATTAACTAATTTTTAAAATTGTGTTTTTGTTTTTGAGGCAAATAATATCTAAACAGAATCTTCGTAGTTTATATTTATGGTGTACGGAGGGATTGTAGTGAAATTTTGCTTTGGAAATTCCTGGAACCCCCTGTCATGGTCCTTGGACTAATAAATCTTTTACTACTAAAAGAATATTATTCTTATGATAATAAGAATAATCTTTTGAATATTTGGCATAATACATGCCTAAAGGACATTTTTTTATGAATCTATTTTTTTCTGCTGTAATGAGGATATTGTAAATTATACATTTGAATTAATGGTATTTCTTAAAGCAATATACATAACTAAACTACACCAATCTACAAAATGTTGTAGGTATCTATAAATTCTGATGTAGATACTGTAAAGTTTATTGGAATCTTAATCGGCAGATTATGTTGGGAATGTATTAGCACATTGTTAAAATATTTTAAAGATGTTTTGTTGAATTGACTAAGTGTCTATTGGAGAACAGACCTGAAAAGTACATAACTTTATATTTGCATAAAGCTATACTGTTTACAAAGCAAAAAATAAAAAATAAAAGAATCTTTGAAGTTGAATAAAATTTGAAAAAATGTACAGGAAGTTAAGTAACACAAAATAGGGGCCGGCAGGATAGCTCAGCGGACTAAAGTGCCTGCTTAGGCAAGCACAGGACCAGGGTTCCACCCCGGGCTCCACATGCCACGCCAGCCCCACCCAAGGGCGGGCTGAGCCAGCCAGAGTGCAGGCATGGGGGCACACACCTGTCATCCCAGCACTGGGGAGGCAGAAAGCAAGAGGCTCACTATGAATCTGAGCTGTGTAGTGAGATCCTATAACAACCAAATACATTAAAATAAAAATAAAAATAAATAAATAACATAAAATAGAACATTGAGAGCTATTTCTTGGCAGTCTGTACCATGAAATATACTTTTGCTAGCTGTACGGACAACCTCATTCTCTGTTAATGTGCTACGGAGAAGCATTAAATGGGAGTTTCTTCATCCAGAGGTATTTATCCACATAACTGGGAGGAAGTAGGTTAATGCAAGAAGAGGTTGAGAAATAAGCTGGCTTTGGGGCTTTGTGCTTTGAATATTCCTTGACTGCCTAGTGCTGAATTTAAATTTACCTGGAAAGATTTCCATTTAATAATGCTGGCCCAGATGGCAGCAGCTAATAAATGTGAGTTGTGCTTCCTTTGTTTAGGAAAGTACTGCTTTTTACTTTTGATTTTAATATTTGGTTACTAGCTGTTTTGCGTTTGGCTTACAAAAGTATATACAGGGCCGGGGAGATGGCTCTGTAGAATAAGCGCTTACCTGGCAAGCTCAAGGGCCTGAGTTCAATCATTGGTTCCTCCAAATAAAGTATATACACACACCCAGCACTCTGTGGTGTGCTGGAGTGGTGTGTCTTGGGGATACCAGGTAGGAGGATTTGCCCAGGAAACTCAATCATTTTGGAAACATATACACTGAATATTGTCTCTTACCGTTAGCATTCTCTTAAGGAACTGAACTAGTTTGCAACAGGAATCAGGAAGAAAAGGCAAACTGGTTAGCCTCCCCTAGGCTCAGTGCCAAATTCTAGAAGATTCCTGAGACCTGCTTCCCAGAGTGCATTGCTTAGTTTGACAAGGAATGCTGGGAACACTTGGGAATGCTTCTAAGTAGAGAGAAAACCAGTGGCCTTCCCCAAAGAAGGCTTCTTCCTCAGACAATGCAAGATTCATCAGTGGAACTAATCAGCTTCTCTAGGCTGTCTTGGCAAGACATTAGCAAGCAGGACTGGCCCAGCTGGATTGCAGGAAGCTTCTGTGCCCTTGGGAGGGGCCTTGAAGAGAGAAAGCAGACCTCTTGCACATCCGGGCAAGTAGAGCCACAGGGCTTAACTTGAGAAGATCTGACCTTATATGAACCCTGAACATGACAGAGCAGGTCAGATTAATTAAGATAATATTATGCCATGACCTCAGCAGGGGTTGGATATCCTACAGCTATCATTATTCTAGATCCATAAGTGGCCAGTGGGGTACGTTTGCATTAATACAGCTGTCCTTTCTACCTTTACAGCCAGGGTACAGTGGAATAGTTAGTCTGTTCTTACCTGTGGACTTGGCTCTATTTGGTACACCTTACATTTGTTTGTTTTTAAACCTGAAAGAGACTTTCCATTATTTCTTGTACCTGAAATAGTGTTTCTGTCCTTAGCTGTAAGATTAAGATTTTTTTTTTTTTTTTGGCAGAACCGGGGATTGAACTGAGGCCCTTGTGCTTGCCAGGCAAGCACTTGTCCTACTGAGCCATCTCCCCGGCCCCAAGATTAAGATTTTTGATCAGGTAAAATAAATAAAATGCAACCAATTCATGCTCCATGTCTTTCAATTGACTTACAAAATATTCAGCCTTTCTCATTTGCTCATCTTAGGAATTCTCATTGGATAAAAACTTCTGGGAATTTCTCTTTGAAATATAAAAATAAGTATGAATTTAAAAAATAAATTCATTAATGTATTTTTAATCATAATGAGTAAAAATCTGACAGAAAGATTTATCAAATTAATGTGATATAGTACTAGAAAAGTCAGTGAAACTAATATTTTTAACAACTCATTATTAATCTAAAATTAGTTTATTTTATAGTTTTAATCATGTACCTATACTTTTATAAGTTGTTATAATGTCATTATTTAGGGTAGGAGTACATTTTTTAAAAATTTAGATGCTCTTATTGAATGATTATATTCAACTAATATATTAGGTAAATTTACTTCACACAATTTTTATTTGTCCTCGCATATCAACATTTTGTAAAAATGTTGTCTCACTTTATTCCATTAGATAACCCACGTGACAAATTTTCCTTTGAGTGTTATCTTGGCTTTTTTGTTACAATTTCAGATTTTTTTCTAATGACTGGTATTAGTCAATGTATTATTTTCCTTTTGAAGATTAGGTCAGAAAGTTGATTTCATTCAGTTTCCTATAGTGACAGCAACATCAGTGAACTCACTTAAAATCATGATATACAATATCAATGTATAAAAGTCATAATCAGTTCTTCAAGGGGCTGGATGATGGAGTTTATGCTGTTCCATTATATTTTTACAGAGCATAATAATGTGCACTAGGAAGTTGTTAATCTTTTTTTTTTGTGGAACCGGGAATTGAACTTAGGCCCTTGCACTTGCCAGGGAAGCGCTTATTCCACTGAGCCATCTCCCCGGGCCCTAGGAAGTTGTGAAGATTAAAAAAAAAAAAAAAAAAATTAAAATATACAAATCCTACAGAAAAACAGAAATGTCAGATTTGGTACGTTTTGAAACAAGCTTGAAGTGGGAAAGGGTGAATGAAAAACAGAACTGAAACAGGACAGGATACGTGGCCATTTATTTATTGTTGTGATGCTGGAGATTCAGCCTTCATCCGGAGACACAATGCTGCCCTGTTTGATTTTTTGAGACAGAGTCTCATTTATTTACTAAATTGCCCCAGCTGGGCTCGAACTTGTGATGCTCCTGCCTCAGCCTCTCTGAGTGCAGGACCAACTTGACTAAGTAGGGCAAGATTTTAAAAAGAAGCTATTTTGCTGTGTGACCGGAAACCACTTTCCCGGGACAGGGAATTCACGCATTCGCAAAGGCCTCTGGGCTCCCGCGGTGTGCCAGGCACTTGACCTCTTCTTTGTTTCCTTCCTCTGCCAGGCTGAGGACTGAGCCCAGCGTCTGCATGCAGTAAGCAGATCCTCAACCACCATGTGCCACATCCCACGGCATGATTTCTTGGCAGCTTTACTTGTGTGGCAAACAGAGGCCCCACGAAGACCTATTTCCGTGACTTTAAGGCACAGTAAGGTATCAATCACTATAAAAAGAAGGATAAAGGCAAAGAGCAGAAGGTTAAGGATGCATCTGGAATGCAGGGATATATTTTTAGAATTTACACTGTAGCAAACCTTTGAGAAAGTCCCAACTGTTAAGTTTTGGAATAATATCAAAGTGTAAAACTGTGACTCTCTTCACTATTTTATTTTTGTGTGTGTATGTTTGAAAGTCACATTTTAATAAAAGTGTTATCTATGTTTATAAAAACAAGAAGGCATTTAGACCGGAGAGTCACGGAAGCTGCCTGGAGATGACCTTTACACTAAAATAGAAAGGCAAAGATAAACACCCGCAGACAGACAGATGGACCGATGGACAGATGGACAGATG